TTGGAGGTAATCTCAACCAGTATGAGATTTAAGACACTCACATAACACTTTGAAGGCTTCGGACTTCAATCAAGTGAGTATTTCAAAACTATAAAATTTTTTGGTGCATACTTGATACCTCATATGCAGTTGGTTATGGGCCAAGAAATGGAGAGATTGGGAAAAGTGATAATTTTCTCATCAGATCCACTGAGGCAGCCTATTCAATTCTGTATGCAGGTAGATCAATGAAATTTAAGAGACTAAGTTCAACTGATGATTAAAAGTTGGTCTAACAATCTCTGACTCTCTTTGTCGATAGGAATGCTGACAAAACGTTAAATTTCACATTCATTTGCTCACTATCTGCTCTCCACAATCAAATCAGTCCATCATATCCTACTGTGCCAGTTTCAACTAATGTAATAGGTTAGCTATGAGCTTCATGCTCCTTCAGTGCTCTAATTAATCAAAACTGAAGGTAAGCATGCAATTATGCTAAAGCTCCTTATAAGGACAGCTGGAAAAATGAAACTTCAGAACCATTTTCAATTTCAGTCAGAGATCAACATGCACTTCCAACTTAAGCTCTTCTTTCCAGTGTACACTAGCATCGAAACAGACAGACAGCATGCATATTTACATGCACTAACCTCAAACTAACAACTCATATGTGTGTTGTGTGTGTGTGTGTGTGCGCATGTGTTTTTCTGTACAATTTGCCGGCATTATCACTATTTTATCAGATAGCTACAATCCATTCAGCACTGCTCTCTAATATGTCTTCCACTAATTCTTAATGATATAGGTTATATTTCCAAGCTTTGGTGAGAGGTATATTTCAACTGTTCTTTTTCGTTCTATACATGAAGAGGTTCAACAAATGCAAGCAAGATAGTAGATTTGTTCTGCAAGATTCTGTCTACCATGGAATTCAATTCTCATTCTTTCAAATGAAAACTGGGCACTATACTACTTGACAGGTAAATAGCCTTTCCTTGTAAACTTTTCAATCTGCACTACAAGAGCAATTACCCTTTCTTTATCTTTTATCTATTGTTTTTTAGGTACAATTTTCATAGAGGCATCAGGAGTCCATACAAGATTTCTTTGCTCATGTTTCCAACTGGTAATCAAATGCTTTGGCATATACAGTGCATATCATGTTGCTACCTTCTGATTGTAGCATTGTAGGATGATCTCAGGGCTAATGAGTCAATTTGAAGATGTGCAAATTGTGAAGATGTAATTACAACCATTCTCAAGTTGCTGGAGTTAGTACTTCTAAAAGCATGTGACACTAATATAGATCCTTGCTTTTCATGACCAACTTCTCATTTGTGCAAGTCTAAACCAGAATTTACTTGTAAGCATTTCACTTGGCTGCTTTCATTGGAAGTATCTAGTCGTCTAGAGAGGCTAATAGCTTACTTAATGCACAGTTAAAACTGGCATTATTAATTGCTTTCTTCCTATTGTATCTTGTTACATTTCTATTCTTGGCTGAAACTTTTCTTATATGTCATGTCAAACAAATTCCAGTTTGGTGAAGCTCCCGTCTCTCAAGTTATTGCTACTTGGAAGTAATTATTTCATATTTCGTTCTCCCAGGTTATCATTGTCAACCCAACTGGCAAAAGTTATTCAGTTAACTCACAATAGATGGCTGGAAATCCAGCTTTTGAAAAAAGAATTAATGTCCAGCATTTGTTTGAATGTTAACCAGGAGTCATCCTAGTTTGAAATGCTATATTTTGTAGAATATCCACTTCCAGAAGTGATGTGTTGGATACCAGGCTAGGTAATGCTGATCAAGGATTTATGACATGAAACAACTTTATGCATAAAGTTAGATGTCCACTGAAACTGTATTTTATACAAATTTGCTATTGGATTTTGTGCCAGCTACTTTTATAATAATCCCAGAATACAGAGAATGTTTGAGCATGATATCAAAAAATCCTATTATTGGGAATTCTTTGCTGGCCGATGCATTTTTATAGGAATGGGCCTTGCTGTACCCTTTTACAATTTTAATCATGCAGGATGTAATTGCTGTTCTTGTAGACACACAATCCTCCTTGAGTTTAATGCACATATCAATGGAAAAGATTAGATGAACACACAATCTTCATTGATGAAAGAAAGCAATTTCTAAAAGAGTTTTCAAGATAAAGATTTGGATGCTCATTCAATTTTATTTGATTGATGCTTCAACAATTATTGCAAGATTTGCTAATTTGCCTTAAAAAGGGTTTAGATTGTACATGGAGTGCAAGAGATCATCAACTTAACCAGTTATGGAAATCTTGCAAAGGCTTCTTATTTCATTTTTTGAGTTGATCTTTCACACTCTTGGAATAGTGGCATCTATCATCATGAATTACTCTGTACTTTAGTTTAAATATACACAAACTATAGTAAAAGCAATGTTAATACATTCAATAATTCAAACTTGTACTATAATTAATTATTAATCTCTTAACATTTATATTCTTTTAAGAATTGTTTGAATACGTGATTATCTTTTCATAATGTAAACGTTATTTAAAATTTTCAAATTAAAAATTCGAAATCAACCATTTTTTCTAAAATTTACTGAATGTGCTAAAAAAAAGGATAAAAATCATAAATAACATCCAAATGAGCAAGCAATCAATCAAACAAACAAATTATGATAGTCTGGTTCGCTACTTCAAGGATACAGCACAACTCTCTCCTTTTAATGTCTTGTGGCTATGATCATAGGACCAAAACCCTGACTCAAAATATCTCATGTTCGAACTTAAGGTGATTCTCAGCCTCAAAACCTTATGCTTGAAGAAAGCTCATAAAAATCAGGTTCTGATTTTAATTTTATCCATTTTAAACCGTATTTAGAGCAAAAATTTATAATGCACCATATCGTATAAGTTACAAATTCATGAAGAATAGCAAGCTGTAATTCGTTGCGGTATCTCTATAGCTTGCATATACCCGGAAAATATATTAATTAAACTTAATTGTGTAGATAAATCCTTGCTTTATTTTGGGTTGTATTGGTCTTTGTTTTTAATTCATAAATCGAAAAAGATTTTGGAGCCATTTATTTGGACCATTAGTCTCTATCAGAATATACATCAAACAAAAATTCTCATTTATATTCATCACATGGAAGAACCAAAACCACAAGAACATTATAATTTATGAAATACAAAATTTTGCACTCCCCCCATTCTAAGAAGAATTTGACTTTGATTAATTATATGAAGATAATTTATTCATTCCAATTTTAATTTTCTCTAGAAAGAAAATCTAATTAAAATATATTTAATCCTATTATTTAGGGCATGCATGTGAATGGACCATGGAAGATTTATTCCAATCAAGTAATCATTCAAGGAGACTGCAAAAAAGCAACTTTGGCTCTACTCCTAGCACATGCTACCCCTTTCTTAGTCTTAAAAATTTTAAATTAACTCATTAATTATAGCAATTATTTTTTCCTTTTATGAATTAAATTCCATTGAAGAACCGCCTCCCCCTCCCAATTCCTTTCTGTATCTCAAATTGAATAATTATAGCCATGCAAATTGAGGGGTGAAAACAAAGGACTATAGCCAGAATTGAAACTGATATTAATTTGTTTATCAAAGTTATAGAGATTTTTTGTATAGTTAATTTTAGCTGCCCTGCACTGCCCTATGAGAAATATTTGCCTTTGCTTTCACTCACTTCTGTGGCCCATATACTTAGCCTAATTTAAAGGCCATAAAGCAATCTCACTTAATGCAGTTGGACTTGTTTGTAACTTGTAAGTATACAATTTCATTTTCCCACCATTTATAGCTTAGATGTTGATTTTGGCCTAGAGAAAGAGAGAGAACATTAAACATGTTTTGAGGATTGGACAGAAATTTATATTTGCATTTAAAGCAGTGGGATCATAAGGTAATTTGGGAGGCAATAAATAGGATTATCATAGAATAATCTACTTTCGTAATATCTAATTAATTTTTTTTTATCTAACATATATATCCACTTATTACTATTACTAATACTCTATATTAAAAAATAACATCTGAGTATTTGATTAATTGATTAGTGCATAATCTGCTTACTTTAAAAAATAAAATTCGAATCTCCTTCCCCAAATTCAAAAACAATTACTAGATATTGAAAAATAAAATTTATTATTAATTTAAGTTTAACATCTCATTTATAAATTAGTTGACTCACTCATGTATTGATAGATTCTACTTTAAATTTATCCAATAACTATGTATCATGTTTCACACAATACAAATATTTAAGATAAAAATGACCGAGTAAGTAACATAACTCTTATATATTTTATTTTCTATTTCATTGATAGCCAATCAAAAATTAGGGTTGAATTGGCCCCACATTTTCTCTTCTACGGTGAAATGCCAAGTTTTTTTTTTTCTTGTCACTAAGATGAATAAGTGTGCTGGCTGTCTATAATTAAAACTTGTAGGGCTATTCAAAAAAAAAATTAAAACTTGTAGGGTATTCTCCTTTCCTTTTATTTTATTTTTTTTAAAAATGGTGGTCCCAAATGGGGGCAGCAGTGCATATAAATATAAATATATATATTTTGCAATGGAGAAGGGGGCTATTATTCATGAGGATCATAACCATTGGAGGTGGCTCTTATCTCACATGCCAACCTTTCAAGGTTAGGTAGAGATGATAGTAATGCTAGAAAGTGATGTGTAGGGTTTTCATTAAATTAAACCTTTGGCCTCTGATTATTTTTTTTTTCTAAAAAAAATAAAGAGTGTGCAAAATACTCACACATAAGTTAAAATTTCAATTTTTTATTTATAATTTTTTTAATTTATTCTAAATTAATCCGTTCAACTGTTAAATGCTAAAAAATGATAAACGAATTATGGATGTAATTCGTTACGTGATACCTAGATGGGCATATATGTAACAAATTTCATTCATATTCTCATATAATGTGTTAATGAATATATAGATGCGGAACAAACTCAAAATGTCATAGATAAAACAAATGTGAAATCTAAAATTAATGATAAAAATGAAATATTTGTGTAAAAGCTTGTTCATATATATTTTAACATCTTGTTAATGGATAAATAAATTATTTAGAACCAATTCAAAAGGTCGTGAATGTAAAAAAAAAAAATTAAAACATTTTAGTTTCCGATAAGACGAAATATTGTGAAAAGTCAGAGACTCAACTCTGGCTACACTTGAAAGCTTTCTTATAACTGGCAGTCCTCCTTTCTTAGGGTTGTAATTTGAAATACATTATTAAAAAAATATTTATATATGCCGAGGGTTGCAGAAAGAGAGTAAACCTAACAAGTTAAAAGGTCATGAAAGCAAAAATATATCAGAGATGGAACTAAACCTAACAAATTAATGTTCATTAAAAACCTATCAGAAAAATCCTTGTGGACCTTCAATAGAAAATATAGGAGTCCCATGTCTCACACTGGAGTGTTGGCGGACTTGGTACTGTCAGTTTAACTTGAGCATGAAAATCACTTACAAAACAACAGATTGCGCAGTTTGTCTTGTCCTGCCATGCAAATGCACTTTGCAGAATTAGCAGCACAGAATTGAAGTACATCTAAAATGACTGTCCACTTTTCCTTTCTTATCCCCTTTTCTTTTCTTTTTTTAAATTAATCATTAATTAACTCTTCAAAAAAATCAGATGGTTGGTCCCTGGTCTTAATCTCATATCATTGCTTTCGTGGTGAATAATTTGTATTAATCTCGCTTACCTACTGATTTATCTACTTACCCACATTTTTTTTCAGTTTAACTTGATGGTAAATTAATTATTCCGAAGTTTCTATGAGTTTGCAAGTTATGGTTAATGACAGGAGAATCAAATCCATATTTATGAATTCATTATCAACAATCAATCGAATCCCAAATACAGGGAGAAATATAAATAGCATGGACTGAAGCCGTAAACTCCCTACAGCAGAGGTAAATGCAAAGTAAAAATGAATTTGCATGGAAAAAAGTTAAAAAGGAGATTAATTCCATCAGCTAATTTACCAAGTAACAGATGCATTTCTTTTCACTTTTGAATTCCGTACAAAGATAAACCTGTCAAACACAAAAGGGTACTGAAAATTCGTACTGACATACTTATTTTGATAGTGAATATTGTAACCTAAGAAACCAAAACCTCAGCCCTGCATGAATGCAGCATCAATTTATAAGAAGGAAAAAAAAATTATTTAATTCTTTTTTTTTTTTTTTACCATGGTGATCGGTTAATTGCAAGTATGCTTGTAACAGCATATACTTCAGAATTTCAGAAGATGGAGCTTTCAAAACGATTTTCAGGCTTCCTAGGAGAAACATATTTGCCTGTCAGTGAAGCAAAGTAATTTGAGAGGCAGTTGCTTTACCTCATTATCACAGGCTTATATCTCATTCAATGTCCGGCAAAGAAAAAGGTACCATCTTTTACACTTGTGAGTACCTTTCACATGCCCTTTGGTCAAATTAATATTTATTTAAAAACAAAAGGAAATTAATATTTGGGGAATTTTGGTAAAAAAAAAAAGACAAAGAAAAATATGTCCAGCTAGTTTCTGTAGCCAAGCACACAAATTAAATAGCTTTTTAGTACAAATTGTTATTACATTAGTACTTCAATTATATCACATGTAATATTTACAACTAGAATTAAATGCACTAATTTTTGCAGTCTTGTCTAACTAACAATAGTTATAAATGATGTTTAGGGAAAGCTCTTTAGGGCCCCATAATAATTTTTACTTACAAAGATAAAAAGGTAAAATCTTGTAAAGCGGATTAGCCTTCAGCTGTTTTTTTTTTTTTTT